CCCCAAAACCCCAAAACCCCAAAACCCCAAAACCCCATGATTCATAATTTCTTAGCTTCAAAATGAAAAATTTAAAGCATATTAATTATAAATCATATAAATGATTCAGTCATCTCCATTGATTAAAACATAGATAAATCTCCAAAACATGAATAAATCTCATAATCAGTAATCAAGCACCAGCTAAAAAAGTGGTTAAAAATGCCAATCTATCTCAAGAAAATAGCCTAGGATAAAAGTAAAACAGAATGAAAAATAAGAATACCATTAACGGGAAAATTCAAAACAAAAATAGCTTATTACCATGAAGACAAGTAAAGGATACGAAAATCAACCTAAACAGCGACGATTACCTCATGATCAAAATGGACATTATGAAAAGTAAGGAAAAAAATCAGGCTACTAGCGATAAGGGTAGCGAAAGTAGCTCTAAATCCTTCCAAAAAAGCATGTCACTAATAACAGAATGAAAACTTTTTAGCTATATGTACTCGCAGAAAGACCCCTCCCCAGAAAATAAAGAAAAAGCAATGGAGAGTATAAATCGCGCTTCAATGAAAGGAGGGATGATAAAAACGATGTAATTGAGATACATGCAGACTCTGAATCGCAACCATAAGATTTAAAAGAACCATAAGCAGGCTTAAATTAATTCAAAGATATGAAATAACTTTAGACTAGTTGTTAAAATTTCTCAAATTAGGATATTCTCGATATTGAAGGACTTAATGCATCTTCCAAGTAATATTATCTGTAACAAGAAGTAATCATACAAGATAATTTGAATTAAGATTTAAATGTTGAGTCACTAAAAAGGAATATTAACAATAGACAAGACTTTCATAAAAATCTTGATCCACCTATCAACTTGCTGTGGTTTAATAATCAAAAATAATCAAACTAACAAGGACGTGATGACATCGTTGAAGTTTATTATGATGAAGAGAACGATGAGGACGAATACCAAGAACCTGAGGAGAATGAGCCGTAGTAATTTAATGAGGTTGATGAAAATGAAAACCCTGAAGAGCTTATCGACATTATTGAAATTTGTACACCAGAAGAGGATACTCTTCTTGAAGTATTTTTCTGTGATGAAAGACATAATTAAGTTCAAGCTGAGCCCTATATTGAAGAGATAAGACAAATAGAAATCATAGAAGTGTTTAATGATGAATACGAAGAATATTTTGCTGAGGCTTTAGGTTTAGAAATCTAACCCTAAGAGGTGTAAGAATATGTAAACTAAGAAAATAATCGAATTCTTGAGCCGTATTGTATAGAGCTCCAATTCTAATTTAAGTAAGATAATAGATGAAACAAAAAGGATATCTTCTAGTAAGATGTTTTTTTGCATTGAATCTTTATAATACATATAACTATAATGAAAATGATTATTTATGAGTTAATTTATACAATTGTTTTATATCCTAATTTTTGATTTTTTATATCTAATATTGATTATTCTTGCTCATGGGGTTTTGGGGTTTTGGGGTTTTGGGGTTTTGGGGTTTTGGGG